GAGCAGCTAAGGCGGGAGGGGGGCCAGGGGCTTACACATAAAGGCTTGGCTTCCATGAGACTTCTTTCTCAGATGCTGTGGGAGTTGTCTTTATCACATCTTAATTATCACAGTGTTCCTATGAAACTTCTTAGCAAGCCTGCTCTCTCTCTCTCTTTTTTTTTTCACTTTAGGGACAGGGATAATTATTGAAGGTGGTAGACCTCTGATATCAGAGTTCTGAAAAGTAGTCTTTATTTTAAAAAGCTGGCGGTGGAGGTTGCTTCTTTGTTACACTGTACTAGATCTGAACTGACTTTGGATTGATTACCATGAAAGGGAGCAGAGGCCAACAAGTACTTTGATCATAAGAGATGAGGAAGCCCAACCAACCAATAGAAGCCCAACCAATAGAAGCCCTTTCCATCATGAAAAGTCTGACGGCTTATGATAGGGATGTTCACGCCCTCACAGAGCGATTCTCAGTTCAAGGCTGAAATGTTGCCCTCAGCTCAGAATTGCAAACTGATGCTTATTTGTATAAGTGATGTTGTCCAAAGCTGGTACAATGAGTTGCTGTTTTAACTTAAGTAAACCAAGGGAGTTTGCAGAAAAATTAGATATTTAAATAGTTTTTTTAAAAAAACCACGTTTTTATTTTATTTTATTGATTTCAGAGAGAGGAAGGGAGAGAGAGAATCATTGATCGGCTGCTTCCTGCACGCCCCTTACTGGGGATTGAGCCCACAACCCCAGGTATGTGCCCTGACTGGGAATGAACCATGACCTCCTGGTTTATAGGCTGATGCTCCACCTCTGAGTCATAGCAGCAGGACAGATTTAAATAATTTTTAAGAGGGATCCTCTGATTGGGCATCTTGTAATCCTACATCTTCCATTAGGGCTGGTTTGACATAAATGTAAAAGTGTGTTACCACTCATTTGTAAACTAAAATGCTGCTGAAATCATTCTATGGAAATGCTTATCCTTGGAAAATGAAAAGGTAGTATTTTTGTACAGGGTGTCCAATGACTTCTCATTCTTTTCTCCCTGCAGTTAAACAGACCATCAGCAACACTTCAATATTTAATGAAACCTGCTTGAGATGGAGAAACGTGAAGATAGCTGGTAGAGAGGAAATGTATTTAGTGAGTTACTGAAAGCTACTCTATTGATGGCGGTTTGTGTTGTGTGGGAGGTTTAAAAAATATCAACGCACCTAAAAATCTGCTTACATAGCTGCCATTGCCAATAAGAGAATTATAGTGACAGTTACAGTCAGAAGCAATAAACTGGGCACTTCTGCTGCTTTTTTGACAAGAGTGACCCTGGGGACTGGTGAGAAAGCCAGGAGAGGTGTTTTGGGTGTGAGCACATAGCCGGAGCAGAGTTGAGAGTTGATGTTCAGGCAGGATCCGGGGAGGAATCTGAAGGCTTTTGCATGTGTGTGACTCTCCACACCAGGGTCTGAATGTGTTGCCTAGAGAGTCCAGGGAACTTAGGAAGCTAGATGTGGTTGTCAGTAAGAAAGTGAAAGATCCTGGGATGAGCTGTTACTAAAAGGAATTAAGTAGAAAGAAGTGTGTGTGTGTGTGTGTGTGTGTGTGAATTGAGTAGAAAGAAGCGTGTGTGTGTGTGTGTGTGTGTGTGTGTGTGTGTGTGTGTGTGTGTGTGTTGGCGCAGGTATAGGGAATGTCAGAAAGGGGTGGGCAGAGGAGAAAAACCCTTCCCAGGTTTCACCAGACCACCTGAGGGTATCCTAATTCACGTCCTGCTTTGGAGAAGCCCTACTTCAGATCTAGGCTTTTGCATGTGTGTGACTCTCCACACCAGTGTCCCTGACAAGGGTCTGAATGTGTTGCCTAGAGAGTCCAGGGAACTTTGGAAGCTAGATGTGGTTGTCAGTAAGAAAGTGAAAGATCCTGGGATGAGCTGTTACTAAAAGGAATTAAGTAGAGAGAGAGAGAGAGAGAGAGATGTGAGAGAGGAGTCACATCAATTGGTTGCCTCCCTCGTGCACCCTGACCTAGGCCTGGGATCGAACCTGCATCCCTTGACTAGGATTCAATCCCGAGACCCTCAGGTGCGCGGGCCGATGGTTCTAACTGCTGAGCCACGCCAGCCAGGGCCTTATGTCAGATTCTTAATTTTCTTTCTAGGGAAATGTTCTTCGGCTTTGCTTCTAAAATTTTGCCAATAGACTTTCACATTGAACTATGTATCGTGTATGTGAGAACAAGAAAGAGAAAGTTGCCAGTGTTTGGCCCTTGACCTTTTGTGCATTTTGATATAAAAATATATCTATCACACTGATAATATTGTAACTACAGTATTTGTGGTATGACGACTCTAATCTTTACTTATTGCTGCATTTCACGTTTTGAAGGAACTTTAGAGTCAAGGGCAAGAGAGTTCATGAGAAAGGTGAAGATCTAGCCCTTCAAGCTCACGATTCGCCTGCGAACTTGTCTGTGTTCTAGCTCCGCATTCAGGGCCGGAGATGGTATCAGGAGGAGTTTGCCGAGGAAATCACCTTTAATATCACCAGCAGCAGCCAGGCCCCTGAGACGTGCTTAGACCTGCGTCCGGGTACCAACTACAGTGTCAGCATTTACGCTTGGTCTTCTGTCCTTCCCGTGCTCATCTCCCTAATAACCCAGATAACAGGTACATCTCAAATAAAGGTATTTGGATGCACAGGGTCACCACGGAGCTGTGGCTAGGCCTGGATAAAGAGGAGCAGTATTCCTTTTTATCATTATGTGATGAACTTTAAGAAAGAGAGGAAGAAGGACATGGAATTGGAGAGGGGTGCCAAGGGGACTGAAAAGGTGACTGTTTTATTTCTTACAAAGATGTCTGAAACAAAATGTTATCTTTGGTTACATTTTGGGTAGTGTGTACCTGTGTTGGTTCAATTTCTTCTGTATTTGTGCTTATGGCCACCAGGGGGCACTGGTGAGCTGCTTAAGTTCATTGAGACCCACAACAGCATGTTTTCCAACTCTACCCCACTTTAAAGAATTTGCAATTTAAAAAAAGTGTAAAAATTCAAGCTGTTAAGATCTCATGAAAGGGGGGGCGAGGGGGAGGACCCATCCCTTTTATAAAAGAGCAAAAAAAGGGAACTTTATATGTTGATGCGAAGAGGTACGCCTGCCTAAGATGTGGCTTTATTTTAGTAAAATTGTGAACTTTTGAATTTTACCAGAAATGTTAGGCAAGGCATTTGGGTCTGGAAAATGCAAAGCAGGTGATTTCCCAGAAGAAAAGTGAATGAATTTTCTTCTGAGCGTCTTACATTAAACAAAATCTTCCTGGTGGGAATAGGATGAAAACTAGCGCTCTAGCTAAGCTGCAGTGCTGCTGGGTGCAGTGCTGCTGACTTCAGCAGAGGTCTGAAGTTCTAGGAATGCGGAAGGACAGGGACAAGTGTTGCTGTGAAAGGGGGTGAGAGGGGCGGGTGAGGTGGAAATCCGTTCGGTGGCTCTTAGAAAACGTGAATGGGAACTTTTTTTAATATATATATATCAGAAGAATATATGTTGTTTTGTTTAGAGGCACATGTGGTTGTCGAAGATGTGACTTTGTTTCAGAAACATCATGGACTTTTGAATTTGACCAGAAATGTCAGGCAAGGAAGGGGGTCGGCCCTGGAAAATGCAGTAGCTGATTTCCCAGAAGAAAAGTGAATGGGATTTCCCTTCCGAGTGTCTTACATTAAACTAAATCTTACTTACTGATGGGAACTCCCAGGAACCCAGAACCAGGGTTTCTGTGGGGCAGAGGAGTGGGGGAGGGGCATACTGCAACTTAACAATTTAATTCAGCGGACATTTATGGATTGGTGATGTACAACGAGCCGGGCTAAGTGCTGACGGGGATGTAGAGATGAAAAAAAGATTGTTCCTTCTTGCTGGGAGCCAAGTCTTTATCGATGTGGAGATGTAGCTAGCCTTGTGATGTCTGATGACTTATGGTGTAAGCTACCAGTTCTCCTGTTGCCATCAATTTCAATTGATCCTGCCTTGAGTGGGTGGCAGAATCTCTATGGGGTGGTAAGGAAGAGAAAAGAACAACTGTGGTGTCTTTATTTATGCATATTTATTTATGTGTATTAATTCCTTGCACTTACTTGAAGTTTACATAGTATAATGTTGGGACTTTGGTTTTGGTACAAATACATTTTGCTCCTGTTTTTGGTTCTCTTAGTTCATTTTGGTGGGTTTTAGAGGAATTTTAACACATTTGCCCTTACATTACCTCTTTTCTCTATGGATTTTAATAGTTTGCCTACATTAATGAAATGAATCTTTTGTTCCACCTATCACAACCCCCAGGCTATTTACACTTCAATTTTCTTTTCAATATTCTTTTTGACATTTTAAAATTTTCATGTGATCAATTCCATCGATTCCTTTATGGTTTCTGCCTCTGGTCATGCCAGGAAAAGCCTTTCCTACCCTGAAATCAGATTAATTCTTGTTTTCTAGTGCTCTTAATGTCTTTGCTTTTCACGGTTAAACTTGGATCCATTTGGGATTGGTTTGGATGTGTGGTGTAAGGCTGAATTCACATGGTAGTATCCCCCCCAAATGATAAGCCAGTTTCCTGTCACCTTTGGGAAGACTATTCATGTCACACACTTATTTACTTTCATTTATTTATTTGGGTCTCTTTATTTATTATCTTTTTATTTAAAAAAGTTTTTTTTTTCAATTATTTGGGTCTCTTTCAAGACGGTCCTAGCTTCTTCCGTTCCTTTGCCTGCCCTGTGCTTATGTCTTACTATTTCAATTATGGTAATTTTAGAATATATGTAATATTTTCCAGGTCAAGTTCTCCTTCATTGGTCCTCCACA